GAGCAGCCAGCCACCCCTCCCACTCACTGTCCTTAAATACAGCTTCTGATGACTAGTACCATTACATGATGTTTCCCCACTGCTCTGTCAGGGTGCAATCTAGAATCAGTTTTCATTGCTGCTAAAATCTGAATCTAATCAGTGTGAATATTTCAGTCTACTTAGTTCATATGTTTTGTGTGTGTGTATTTGGCTTCATCTATAAAATGTTATTGGGGCAGAAAAAAAAATCCTAGCAGTTAGGGTACGCTATCGCATTACTCTCTGTCCTTCATTTGTGGTTTTCCTTGTGGTATATTTGTGTTCCAGCATATATGCAAACAAAACACAAATGTCCCATGTACAATGCATTTATAGCATGCCATTGGACAGTAAGTCTGAATCAGTCTGGTGTACAGGGATGAGTAGATGTCATGTTTAATCCAATTTAGATGTTTAGACTGAAAAATGCGACTGCAATATATTTTCTGATTCAAACAGAAGACTACTTTCATGTTCATCCTTTTTCTTATTTAGTACATTGTATGGATTTTCCCATACTTTTCTGTTTTCTATGTTCTCATATTAAAAAAAAAATTAAGAATGCCCAAATACAATTCTGTAAAAATGGAGTAAATTCTTGTGACATTGTGACGAAAGTTCTTGCTCTTGCAGTTCTTGCTGCAGAGCATAGTTCAAGGATTCCAGACAGCCACTGTCCCCTCGGGCTTTTCAAAACTCAGTAGGCAGCTTTATTCTCTCAAATAGGCTATGTCCCAAGTCTGTAGCCAGAGGATCCAACACAGAGTGTGCCAGTTGGATTTAAAGCCTGACTGGCATCCTCAGCGATTATTTATCCTGGGGAGATAAGTGAGTTTTTTATTCAAACAGAGGACTGTGGCAAACCAGTAAGATCATACTTTAAATTGGTACAAAGCATCAAGATTCTTTCTACTAGTATTACAATTTATGCTATAAAAATTCTATCATGATTAACCAGGAATTTATTGTAACTTTATCTTGTCCATGAGAAGTTTATGTGTCAAACTGGTGTATTTCCCCCCCACTATTTAAATAGGACAGAACTCTTATTTACCCTGTTTATATCTCCCAATAATCTCTTCAATATATGTCCTCAAGATGACTCACCTGATATTCTTTATGTGTATGCAGAAAGTCTTAATCTGTGTTTCATAATAGCCTTTGCAAAGGCAAATCTTGAGGACCTTCCAGAATGAAGCTCCACATTGGCAAGTGCAGACTCACACTCCTAGTGGTCTGTAGTGTCTAGGATTCACTTTTCCTTAACGATTATCTTGATTTTTTTCTGACCACATTAAAAAAACACCCTCTCTTTCTTAACTATATCCTGACAGGTCTGCAGAATATCTCTCTAGTTACTCCTCTTATTAGATCTTACATTAAATTATCCCAGTTTAATTACAAAATAAAGATTATGCAGTCACCCTGTCTACCCTTGTGTTAATCTTCCTGCCTGCTTCTCTCTCTGTGCATGCATACATCTCTAAGTTCCTTATTAGTGAGGGCAAAGTTAATTACTGTTCTGTAATTGGGACAGAAGAGACAAATTGATGCCAATCTTGAGGAAAGGAAGCAGAATTTTTGGACTTTTTATTTGTCAACAGTCAGCTGGACATGTTCAACTAACTTCTAACTTAGTGTAGCATTTTCATCTCTTCTCCAGGGAGGGGAATAGCATAGGTTATATTAAGTGAGTTCAAGTATAGTCATATAGGAAATGTTAGGATGCAAAAGACAGAAAATTTGCAGAAGGCTAGGCTTCATTACTTCACTGTGGCAAATAACATGCAATGTGGTATAGAATCTTTGGTCTGCTAATGGAAATTTGGCCTGTGTTTTATGAAACAGTGATTCATCTTGTGGACTGTTATGTGCTTTGTCAGTGTTCTTTGGTAGTGGGGAATTGATCATTTTAACTTTTTGTGAACATTATTCTGCTTTCAAGCCTGTCTTTCCTTTGAAAAATGAAGATGTAAACAACTATGCCAGGCGTTCCAGTTAACAGAGTCCAACACTGATATGAACAATTTCTTCTAACCTTAAAGGCTAACATCTTTGTTTATATTTAGAAGCTTATGGCATATTGCAGGATTTACACTCCCTCTTGCTGCTACTGTGTGGCACTGTCAGGCTCAGAATCCAGAAAGAATCCCCTATCACCTTCATATCATCTGTATGAGGATACTCATACATTGTAGTGTTTACTACACTGCAGTACACTGTGGATCAGTGGCATTTTGAATCATACGTTCTTGCTCTTCTGTACAGAAATAAGAGCTTCTTTAGACATGTCTACTCCATTTCTGAATACTCACTTTGTCCAGATTTTCTGACCCAGTGTGGATTAAAAATTACCACATTATACAATTGCTTTTCAATTCAAGTGGGTCTGGTGCGTGCTAAACTATTTGGTGACAGCTGTGGATACCTGTAATTCCAGTATCATGCTTTCACCAAAATAATGATAATTTCTGGAATTGTTGCTTTTGACACAAGGGGCATTTGAAAAGTGAAAATTAAATTGTTACTTAAATGCCTTATCTAAAAAATAAGAAGTTACAGTATGATATCAGTGTTGTCCAACAAAATGCAATCCAGAAAGAGCTCAAGTAGAATGAAGTTTGAAAATGAGAGGAGTGGAATCAAGCTATTTTATGTAAAAGAAAAAAAAACCTCCAGGGCAGAAAGCTCGGGAACATGTACTTGTTGCCTTTTATAAGTCCCTCAGAATTTAAGGCTGGCAAACAGGGGCACTGAATGGCAAGAAATGAAGAGCAAGAAAATGCCACTGCTAATAAGGAAGTCCACAAGAGATATTGAGATGGAGGACAATCTTATTTTCATATTTTTTGCCAATCTGCACTTTGACACTTAATAACTATATTGTAGCAGGACGTTAAGACATGGATGAATAGTTTGTGTGTTTGTGTCATGTATTAGGCATTCAGAAGAGTGTTTGCCATTGACAGATGCTAGAAAGAACTATCTCTACACTCTCTGGCTTATTTACAGGTAGAAAACATTTAATATTTTTGTTCTTTGTCCAGTGCTGCTGCTACCTGTAAACATTTTAATCTTCAGAATGCTACCCCTTCATAATTTCCAAATGTGGGAAATTCACTGGATCAGTAAAAAACGGGTTTGTGTTTTGAGCTGTGCCTCTTTAAGTGTCAAAACAGAAGTGAAATGGAGTGACTATATGCAAACAGTAAAAATATTCTTTATAAAAGGTAAGAAATTATCAGACTTTACTGAGAAACAACTAAGCCAGTTGTCACATATCAGATAATGTCATTTCACAGAACTTGAAGACAAAGAGTATAATTTTTCTGGCAGTGAGGTAATGTAGTCGCACTGTGGCTGTTTCAGTGGAGAATAGGAAAGAAAAGGAAAAGAGGAATTTGGCTTATCTTCTGCTAAAGCCTTTGTGTAATTCATTAAGCAATCCTAATCCAAAATGATAGTCTATGGCATTTGCTAATGTTTTCATGACCCAATGAAAACATAAAGAGGTACTAATGCAGCTGCTCATTAACTCCCCTCTTAATGCCCTGGGTTGGTTCAAGTGGTCTATAATACCCAACTGGATTTGGCTTCATTGAGTTATTAAAGCCGCTGAGCATTCCTCCTATGGTGACATGTTTCTCTCAGTTTTGGCTTACATGCTTTCCAGCCAGTCTGGGGCTGTGGTTTCACCTGAAACAACACCCTATTCTAACAACTCCTTAAAACTGCAGACTTCTTCCACAGGGTCCATAAAAATCAACTCCTCTATTACAAAAGGAATAAAAGAGATGTAAATAAAAATGGTTACACAGATATTAAGTATTCTGATAATTTTTAATATTGGGGAGTTTTGTCCTTACAGTCTGATTGTACAGAGGTACAGATTGCACATACTGCTTTTTTATTGCATTTTTGCAATACTTGCAAACAATTTTTGTCTTGTGGACAGTATATAAATTATAAGAATGATGTAGCATCTCAGACACAAATCATATTTCTCCTTTTATCAGCCTTTTTCTAATTAGCTTTTCAAGGACTTGAAATCCTTTGTTAAATACTCATATTTTATGCTTAAACTTAAATAATATTAAAACAGCACCAAAGCAATGGTAGTTTCTGCAAGAAGCTGCAACTTGTAATTCATCATGATAAATTCACCACAGAAAAGTATAGGAAAATTAAAAACAGAGTCATATTGGATTTTTGTCTTTGGAAAATTTATTTTCACCTCAATTGCTGTCATATACTAGATAAGATAACTGAAACCTGCAAGTTGTCCCTGTCCCCACGTTTCAACTCTATATCCTCAATGCTACAGATGCTACTCTTAAGCCCTTCAGTCTACCTGTATTTAGAATACTATATCTTTTTGAAACCGTTTCAAGTGGCAGGTTTCGGCACTGAAGAGAAGGAACTCCGCTTTTGCTTTCTCCCTTTTCCCCTACAATGCGTCATCCTGGCACCTTGCCCAGATGTCAACCCTGGTGTAGGTGAGGTTGCCAAAGCAACAGCACACACTCGGTCACACCCCCTATAGCTACAGAAGTCTCAATCAGTTTGAAAGTTTTACTAGGTTTTTATTCATCTGCAATGCACTGCCCAGCCATCTGCGTTTAGTCACCCATCGAGTGCTCACAAGCCTGCTGGTAAATGGAGTAATTTTTGGAACTTTCACCTCCATCTTTTGGGATGCAATCTCTCAAGATTGGTCCTGGGTGGTCAGTCACCTGCCCAACCTGCAGTGAAGAAACTGGCTGGTCTTTCTGCCATCCCATAGACATGCCAGGCAGTTGGGCAATAACTAAGTTCATATTTAATTTTCATAGAATGTGTAAAGCAATAGTACTGTGTAATTGCAGAAGAATAAAACTGGAGTTACTGACAGAGCATTTTAAAAGCTGATTTTCTTCCTGTTGAAGCAGCAGGATAAGTTTTTGGTAATACCTAACTCGCAACTCTGCTCATTTTTTCAGACATGGAGATGACTTGATTGTGACACCGTTTGCTCAGGTAGGCACAATTTTGCTATATTTCTCATATGATCTTGTAATTTAAAGACTAAATGGCCAAACCAGTTCTTTTCTATCATTATTATTGTATAAGATGTGTTTGCTTGAAAGGAGAAAAAATGTCTAAACAGAAAGGCATAAACTTCCCACTCTTGTTATCTACACCTCTTTCTTAATGCATTTTGATTATCTGAAAATTGAAGTGCAACAGCACAATAAACACCTTTGATCTCTTTTCAAATACTGTAACAGGCAGTCATAATGAAGACAAATCTCTGCTTTCTGTTATTCTATTACTTTTTATAATTACAATTTCTTCATTTGGTCATATTTTATGCATTAAATAAAATGTGATTTCTAGACATGAGATAAGTTTTACCTAGAATACTTATGTTCCTTTGCAAAACCATATGTTTGGTTTTTCTATTCAGATTCTGTTTTATAAAATAGCACCTCAAAATTCTTTGTAATTCAGATCAAGACTTCACAATTTTTCACAATATAGCTGTATTATCATGTATGAAAAGTTAATATTGATATTCCTTGAACTCATGATGATAGGTTTTACTCTGAAATAGACAGGAATGAAAATCAATTCAGTGTAATTACAAAGTCATATGTGATTGAAGGTGAATGGAAAAAGAAAGGTTGAGTCACATAGCAGTCTCATAAAAGAATAAAATGTGCAACTTTAGTCTTAATATGCAGGATGCTCTGGTCTAATAATAAGCTGTTAAAAGAATATTTATTTAATAGTTTATTAGATATTTAATTATATTGTAAACAGATACAGTGTTTATAAAACTGGGAGCAAGTTCTTAATATGAATAATACCATCATCTTTTATTAGCAGAGAAAACATTAAGCAAGGGCATTTTATAAAAATACTCTGAAGTCTCTCAAATATTAAATATACTTAAACAATAATGGAAGAGAAGAAATAACAGAAAAAAAAATTAAAATAAGTCAAGCCACTTCTGGTTTTATTTCCTCAGGAAACAGAAAACCTAACTCTTAAGCACAGAAAAAAAATAGAAATTTTATTATGCTCAAGCAATCCAGTAATATTTACTATTGTTTCTGTTCATTGTAATCTGATTTTTGTTTACAAATTGTGCCACATAGTTTCCCTAGAACATAATTTTCCTAGGTTCTAGCTTCCCTAGAAAACAGCAAATAGTACACCCCATTTATGGATATCCTTTTCCTGGGACAAAATACCCTTTCTTTTAAGGGCAATTCTGTATTCTTGTTGGCATTAATCGATGTGCTTCAGCAAATAGAGCAAAAGCAGTTGAATGCTATGGCTAATTGCACCAAGGTACTGTAATTGATTAATTGTGAGCTTTTCCAGTGTAAAACCCTGTTAGCAGTGGTTTAAGTCAACCTGGTTTTATTTGCGTGGAACAAGAGAAAAAGCACTCACAGGGTGAATGATCATGTCACATTCCCTGACACAGGAGAAACTGAATGCAGTTGAGAGAGTGTGCCTAATAGAGGGGAAGTGACATCTGATTAGACTCTTAGGAAAAACATCACCCTTATCTAAGAAGTATAGAATATGCAAAATCTCATCTCCAAGTGGGGCCTGCTGACAGACGAAGCACTGAGCCCATCCCTCTGATTTACATTAGCAGTGTTAGGACCTCACTCAGGACTTCGGAAATTGGATGCCATCTCCCAGTACAATATCTACACATGATAAAAACTACCATTTTAATGTCTTCCTAAAGCAATATTTTAACATATAAGTGCATTTTTTGTGTGCATCACAGTGTGAGGAACACATGTTCGAGTTATTTCAAACCATCTGTATTTTCTTCACTTGATCAGGAAGCTTATTTCATTTGATCATGAGCCACCTGGTGGTAATAATCCTAGTTTAGCATTTCAATTTCTGTTCAGCATATCACCATGGTAATGCAGCTGCATTTTCTATGTGGAGGCAGGGTGGCATACTGTGTCCCCCACATAGAAGCTGGTCCCAGGATGTGATAATTTACTATATTTACTAGAATGGAATTTTTAAAGCAAAAATTAAAAAAAAAATTATCACAAGGCTACTATCAGTTACATTTCTCTATGTTGTAATATACAGCAAGTGCTGTAATTTAATTATTCATAGAATTTCACTTTACAAAATAATTTGAGGGATTTGAAACTTAAGGAAAAAATCTGTAGGTTTTTAATTACCAAAAAAAAGTTCAATATTTAAAATTTGTTTGCAACTGACTTGACTTTGAAAATATTAATATTTACTTAGAGATTAAGCCTAAAGCAGTTTGCACGTGATAGGTTGCTTTATGCCCACAAATGTAACTGTAGAAATACTAAGCACAAGTAGAACCTCTGTGGGCAGCGTTAACTGCCACTTAAAGAAAATTATAGTGGAAAATTGAAATACTATTTTATGTGCTTCTAATATAATACACTTATAAATATTAATACCTTTATACAAGAAATCAAGTTGTTTAGATCCATTGTAGCCAATGACTGAACTTTTTGTTTTCACTCATACATTTATTGCAATGTATGTGGGGATGGCTTGTACTTGCAGAAACTGTCAAAATATGTGCATTTATAATCATAGAATCATAGAATTGTTTATGTTGGAAAGGATGTCCAAGATCATCAAGTCCAACTATTAACCTAAAACTGCCAGGTCCACCACTAAACCATGTCCCCTAGCACCACATCTACATGTTTTTTGAATGCTTCCAAGGATGGTGATTCCACCACTTCCCTGGGCAGCCTGTTGCAATGCAGACCAACCTTTCAGTGAATAAATTTTTCATAACATCCAATCTAAACTTCCCTTGGTGAAACATTTCCTCTCAGTCATGGGAGACTTCAACCTGCCATATGTCTGCTGGAAACTCAACACACATAAAGGAGGCAGGCTAGGAGGTTCCTGGAGTGTGTGGAAAATAACTTCCTGTTGCAGCTGGTAAGTGAGCCTACCGGGGCGGTGCCTTGCTAGACCTGCTGTTTACAAACATAGAAGGGCTGGTAGGAGATGTGGTGGTCAGAGGCTGTCTGGGGCACAGTGACCATGATATAATAGAGTTTTCCGTACTCAGTGAATAAAGGAGTGGTGTCAACAAAACCTCTACCCTGGACACTGGTTCGGAGAGTCCCTTGGGAATCAGCCCTTAAAAACAAAGAGGCCCAGGAAGACTGAACATACTTTAAGAAAGAATTCTTAAAGGCATAGGAGCAGACTGTCCCTTTGTCTCAAAAGACAAGTCGTCAGGGAAAATGATTGGCCTTCGCTGAGCAGGGAGATTTTGCAAGAACTCATAAAAAAAGAGGATGTCTCATGTTTGGAAAAAGGGACAGGCAGCTCAGGAAGTGTTTAAGGATGTCATCAGTTCGTCTAGAAAGAAAATCAAAAAGGCAAAAGCTCAGTTAGAACTTATTCTGGCCACTTCTGCAAAGGATAATAAAAAGTGCCTTTACAAATACATTAATAACAAAAGGAGGGTCAAGGAAAACCTCCATTCTTTATTGTATGTGATGGGGAATATTGTCACCAAAGATGAGTTACTTAAATGACACCTTTGCCTCAGTCTTCAATGGTAAGACAAGTGATCCTCAGGGCAACTGGCCCCCTGAGCAGGTGGACAGGGACAGGGAACAGAGTAGACCCTCTGTAATCCAGGAGAAAGCAGTTAGTGACCTGCTGTGCCACTCAGACACTCAAAAGTGGGATCAAATGGGATCCATCACAGGATGATGAAGGAGCTGGCAGAAGAGCTCGCCAAGCTGCTCTCCATTATTTATCATCAGTCCTGGCTGAGCAGAGAGGTCTCAGATCAGTGGAGGCTGGTCAATGTGGCGGCCATCCAAAAGCAGAGTTGGAAGGAGGATCCAGGGAACTATAGGCTTGTCATCCTGACGTTGGTGTCTGGAAAGGTTATGGAGTAGATTATTGAGTGCCATCATGTGCCATGTACAGGACAACGAGATCAGACCCAGCTGTAAGGGTTTAGGAAAGGCAGGTCCTGTCTGACAAACTTGATCTCCTTTGATGACCAGGTGACCCACCTAGTGGATGGAAGGAAAGGCTGTGGATGTTGTCTACCTGGATTTCAGCAAAGCCTTTGACACCCAGCAGCATTCTCTTGAAAAAGCTGGCATTGCATGGCTTGGACAGGTGCACTCCTCCCTGGGTTAAGGACTGTTGGGATGGCTGGGCCCAGAGAGTGATGGTGAATGGAGGTACATCCAGTTGGCAGCCAGTCACTAGTGGTGTCCCCCAGGGACCAGCATTAGGCCCAGTTCTGTTTAATATCTTTACTGATGATTAGGGTGAAGGGATCAAGTCTACCCTTAGTAAACTCACAGATGACACCAAGTTGGTGGGAGTGTTCATCTGCAGGAAGGCTCTGCAGAGGGATCTGGACAGGCTGGATCAATGGACCAAGGCCAATGGTATGAGGTTCAACAAGGCCAAGTCCTGGGTTCTACATTTGGGTCACAACAAACCCAGGCAGCACTGCAAGCTGGGGGCAGAGTGGCTGGAAAGTAAAAGCAAAAAAGGACCTGGGGGTACTGGTAAACATGAGCCGATAGTGTGCCCAGGTGGCCAAGAAAGCCAATGGCATCCTGATTTTCGCCCTATACTGGCACTGGTGAGGCCACACCTTGAGTACTGTGTCCAGTTCTGGACTGCTCAATACAGGAAGGATATTGAGGTGCTGGAGCAGGTCCAGAGAAGAGCAACAAGGCTGGTGAAGGGTCTGGAGCACAAGTCCTATGAGGAGAGGCTGAGGGAGCTGGGGTTATTTATCCTGGAGAAGAGGAGGTTTAGGGGTGACCTTATCACTCTCTACAACTACCTGAAAGGAGGTTGTGGCCAGGGGTGTTGACCTCTTTTCCCATGCAACTAGTGATGGATGAGAGGACATAGTCTTAAGCTGTACTAGGGGAGGCTTAGGTTGGACATTAGTAGGAATTTCTTCACAGAAAAGGTGATTAGACATTGGAATGGACTGCCCAGGGAAGTGGTGCAGTCACTGTCCTTTCAGGTGTTTAAGAGAAGACTGGACATGGCAATTAGTTGCATGCTCTAGTTGACAAGGTGATGATCAGTCAAAGGTTGGACTTGATGATCTCAAAGGTCTTTTCCAACCTAATTAATTTTGTGAGTCTGTGGTTCTGTGATTCTGTGATCTTGTTCTATCACTTGTTACCTGGGAGAAAAGACTGACCTGCACCTGTCTACAATTCCTTTCAGGTAGTTGTAGAGAGTGATAATTTTTTAGTGTCACTGTTCCCTGGGAATGCAAATCTGATGGCATATATTTTTATTCCTTGCTGAATGTAAAATATATAACTGTGCCTCCTTTTCTCCAGACTAAACAACCCCAGCTCCCTCAGCCTGTCCTTGTAAGACTTGTGCTCCATTAATGCTAAAAGCACCTAGGATGCTGGGCAGGTACTGGACATTTCACTCCTGGACCTGAAGAATAAAGAGGACATACAAAACAACACTCAAGACTCTGCTTTCTGAAAAAAGGACACTAGAAAATTCTGGTTATGTGAATAGTGGTGAACACATAGAGAGACACCCTTGTAGTCTGTCTGGGACCTGAGCGTGGGTCCAGCAAGCCTCGTTAGCCTCCACTCATAACTGACCTTGAGCAACCTTGCAGCTCTGCACACTTCTTTCCTCAGCACCCCAGCTGTTTAATGTCCTGTTATTTTAGATCCAAAACATACCTAAGCTAGCTTCATGTTTTCACATGGCAACGTGTCTAGCCCACTAACCTGTCTGAAACTGTGCTCTGTGCAGCAGGTACAGTCATTCAGAACAAGCAGATCTGAGAATCATGGCTTTACCTGAGGTCACTCTCTGGAGGAGTCACTTCATTACCTTAATTATGTGCTTCCAATTCGCAGTGCACCTGCATATGCAGCCAGTTTGAGTCCAACAGGGTTTATTGAGTAGGAACTTGAAGCCAGGAAAACTGACTACATTTTTTCATGCCCTGGAACAGCTCTGGAAGCCACATAGATACCTTTCTCTGAAAATACTAGGACACACAAACCATCTCAGCATCCTGACACATGTAAACTGAACCCAGGCAGATTGACAAAAGAGAAGTAAAATGGACTGCAGTCACTAAAATGAGCCTCTTAATAGGCCAAACTTCTTCTTTATGCTTTCCTTTTCCTTCTACCTTCAACTCATACTTTCCTTTTACAATATTTTCATGCTTCAGCACTTTTTCACTGTATTTGAAGTATTCATTTTTGGATCTCTAAATTCCAAGATCATCTTTCACCTGCTCAGTTCATGCCTGATTTCCATCTGTCTACATGCAACATCTAAATACAATATTTTTTAGTGTCACTGTTCCCTGGGAATGCAAATCTGATGGCATATATTTTTATTCCTTGCTGAATGTAAAATATGTTACTGTGCCTCCTGATCTTTGGATAGAAAAACATAATTAAATTAATACCATCTAGTTAGACAAATGTATTTTTATTATCTTATCTCATTTGGTAATTACTTACAATAGCTTGAACACTGCCAGTTATTATTAACTTCTGAATATTTTCTGTTACAGGCTTTCATTAATTTATTTTTTTCAGTCTCCCATCCCCTTTCTATCTCCTATATAAATTTAAGGTGCTATGAAAAGAGGGTTGTGTCCTCCTCAAATTAGACCTCTAAAACCCAAATTCCCATTCTTGCTTTCATTATCCCTCTGGTGAGTTCACCAGCCCAGTCTGGGCTGGGAAACAAAAATGGGCAACTTCTGCAGACACACCAGTGATAGTGTGTCTGCTTCCTCCCAGTTCCAGCCTGGTTCCAAAGAACTCATGGTTCCTGTCTGACATCAACTGAACTAGGTCTCTCTTGTCAGGGAGGTTCATCTTATTATGCTTATGTGGTACAAAATTTATTACATTTATCCATCTGCCTTCAGAAGAGAGTGCCTGTGCCACTTATAACAAGAAGACACTCCTCTACTGCTATATGATATCTTGCATGAAATTAAGTCCAGAAAGGAAGTAGTTTTTCTTTTCCCAATGTGTAAAGTTTGTAAGAACCTGCAGCCATTTTCCCTCTTCTGAGGTGATACCTTCCTCTTTTTCTGGTCTTCTGCGCTAAGTCCCCAAATCAACTGTGCATCTTAAAGGAGACACATTATTTTTCCTGGCAGTCTAGACAATCTTATTCGCTTTGGAGTTTGTGGGTACTGAACTGCAAATGGAAGATTCTCTAATTATTTCTTATGCATGAACTATGAGGCTTAAAAGGGCTAATATCTTCCAAACTCAAACACTTTTATAGTAATTTTAAAGAAATAAGTAGTATTCTACAGTGAAAACCTTTCCTCCTTCTCAAGTAAGCTTGCCTTTAAACAAACAATGACTTGTTTATATGGGAAAAAAAAGAAATAAACTATGCTCTCCTATTACAGACATGTTATTGTTAAATAATGGTCAAAGGCTGCAGACTAACCAACCCCTGAAACCTTTTACAGTTGTTTTGCAATGCCCTTTCCTTTTTCATTCAGCACAGTGGAGCAGAGATAAATCAGTCTCACTTGTGCAGACATTTATACTGAAACCACTTTGTCTGTTCTAGGTGCTGGCCAGCCTGCGTACTGTACGGAATAACTTTGCTGCATTAACCAATTTACAAGATCGGGCACCCAGCAAGTGAGTGTCATTTTTTGGCCAATGAGATTTTTGCAGTGATACTTTTTAATGTAAACTGAAAATGACGATTAGGTGTTACAGATTTTAGCCTGTTCCACTGAACCTGCATAAAACATCCATAAGTAATAGCTTATTAATCCCTTGAAGATATTATTCTTGGTAGCTGAGACAACAGCCCCCTTGCCTTCTGATTGATCTTGCATTGCTGTCCTCACATAAACTTGGAGTGGTTTTGTGCAACTATATGATTTTCAATAAATTGGTCATATGTCAAAGATCATTCAAAGATGATTCAGGCACAGTCTGAGTCTTGCAAATGATCCCAAGTAAGCAGACAGCTGCACTCAGTGAGAGCTGCTTGCATGATCTGAACCTAGAACTCTGCCTAACTCATCCAAGATAGTGACATCCCACTCATGCAGAGTAGTTCATAATTATAAATGAGGCATTATAAATTTGATCTTTCTCCAATCGTGTTACAGCATCATAGCGAACATTAATGTTACTACACTGGCAAATTTTGTAGTGCAGTCATTTCCCTCACCCAGAATGTGCATCTCTAGAGCGTAGAAGTAATTAGCATTCCAAAGACAGTTGCCTACCATTGCATATGCAATGCTACCAGAAAATATTTCCATGTCTCTTCGTTGGAATATGCAGACCTTACACATTCCCTGCTTTCACTCATCCATAACTCACATCCCTCTGCAGCTGTGTCAGTCCAATATCTTATAGCATTCTTCAATGGGCAAAATATTCCACTGAACTGTTTGCCTTAAAGCTTATTGTGAAAGGTAGATGCAAAATAATGTGTGAATTGTACATAAAAAATAATAGAGTGAAAAATAATTAAAATAAACATTTCAAGTCAGAGAACATGGGAAGCACAAGACTTGTTAGAATAATGCTATGTATATAAGTCATATTTTAGACTAGGTAGAAGCTCTATGTATGATTCAGCAGGCTTTTAATAAACTTCTAAGTTCCTAAAATATTCCTGTCTTAGAGTTCCCAATCTGCAGAGAGGTTTCAGAGAGGTCAGTTAGGAATTCTCTTCTACACCAGAAAGAAATATCTGCTGTAAATGAACTTTGGCAATGCCAGCGTAGTCCATTCCAAAATAATTTCCCAAGGGTTTTTTTTTCCCAATATTTTATTTCCCAATATTTTCTATTATATTGTTTAAGGATTTAGTCATCTGTGAGTTTATCAGGCTTAGACCTTTTTTATTTTCTTTTCAATAGACGATCACCAATGTGTAACCAACCATCTATTAACAAAGCAACTATAACAGGTAAGAAGAATTTATTTATAAAACCATTTCACTGAACACTGCATTTTATAATAATAACCTTATATTGTTTCCTTATATATCTCCTTATATCTGTTTTATTAAAGAGGTTTTGAGTCATGTGATGACTCAAATTGGTGACTTTTAGTGTTCTATCATGTTAGCTTTTGATTTCTGTCTTATTAACCTGGTTTTAATTTAAGTTCTTTCCCAATTCTTTTTTCTTATATACCAGTGTGTGACTGTTTCATGATTACATTCATTAGTACCTTCTTGTAATGAAACCTAGTAGAAAAAACTGGAATGAGGAATGTATCGATCTTTGTTTTTGGGATATAGAGTTCTGTAGCTATAAAGGGGCAAAGTCTTTGCATTACAAGCGCTTAGGCAATGAAAAGAAATTATCAAAACTGACTTTTCTGATTTAGGATGGTAAATTCTATTTCTATAACATTTGTAGGTAAGACAAAAAAGTAATTTCCTTTTAAAAGACAGTATTATTTCTAAGGAAACATTAACTTGAAAACAGGACTAGCATTGTAAATTATGTGAATACTTTGGAAAATTCTACCCTACAGCACTTTTGGTTATTTTTATGGCAACTTGGTCTTGGTCATCTTTATGGGAATACAGTTTATTTGACCCCATATTTTTTACATCATGTTAGTTCACATGTTCTTACACTTAGTAATTTTCCTGGTAGTTACTTTCTCTATCATGTTCTGTCAGAGCGAAAGAGCATTTGCTTTGCCTCTTGATGAAAGTATAAAGACAGTTACTAAACAGGCAAATTATCATTTAAACCAAAACCAGAAACATAATTTTCCATAATTTTCAAAATACCTTTTGCCTTTTTAATTATATGGTAGCTTTGTAACTCAAGGAAGAAATGCTACTTCAGCAATTTTGAGAAGAAGCGTGGTTTTATAACGTTCAATAGTTTCTGTCTTTAGGCTCTGGAATATGTTAAAATTGATGGTGCTTTTCAGCTAACCTCCCACAATATCCATATTTACCTCAAAAGAACACAATCGTGGCAGTTCTGTACAGATTTATTCTCCTAGGAGAATCATGCAACATGACCATTTGTGTATAGGGCTTAACAGGAAACAGAAGTTTAAGTCTTCAAATCTATAAACAGAAAGGCATCCTTGTTTAAGAATGTTCTGCAATCACTTAAATTCATGTAAATTAAATAAATAAATAGGAAGAAGATAGAGATATATACATAGATTAATTATAATCATGATCCTTTGTTAATATATTCCTTTCAGAGGTAATTTGTTTCAAATTGTTCTCCATAAGCCATTACTTGAAAATACTCCATACTCGAAAATAGGACTCTTTCTTTGGTTTCAAGGGACTAACTTTAGAAAGCCCATAACACAGTAAAATTTGTGACAATAAATAAATACAATATCCACAAGAGCAGATGTGCACACATGTGAACACACAGTGGGCCTACCTTACATGCTCTCCCACAGTCACTTGCCTGAGGTCAGCTTCTTTTCTCCAGCAGGAGAAGCTGCTCAGACAGCAAGACCCAGGACAGTCTCTGTTGGAAGATGCTGTTGCTCTTTTTAAATTCTCCCTGATCTGAAAGTTTCCATTCGATTAATCCTTAGAGGATATTTACGTATCATCCAGAATCTTAATGTTTAGAGGGAAGGTGGTACAGTAAGGGCTGCAATTAGAAAATGCTTCTTTGCCAATAAATTCAAAGGAAGCAAGAAAAGGTAAAGAATAGTAAGGATAATTTAATCTAATTTAGTTTTATCTGATTTCTCAGAGATGCTGCTGGAATTGCTGTGCCCAAATTATGCATTAAACTGGATGAGCTGGGGCTTCTGTGCATTGGATATAAGTGGTTGAAAGACTTTAATGATAAAGAAAAAATATTAAGCCAATATAAAGCACGAAAATGGCTACAATTCATTTTGGAGATTGAGGCTGGATACTATTTTGCATTAATGGGTTTGCCTGCTCTTAGTTACAGCCTGGTTTTGGTATTTCCATGGCAACGAAGTTCATGGCATAGGCACAGAAGTATGCATAGGTATGTCCTTGGGGCATACAAAATCCTAGTAAAACACGTTGCATTACAGCACTATGTTAAGTATGAAGATACATTATAAACACTTTTCCTGCTCTTCACAGAATATTTGAAAACCCCTTCAGATGCTACTAAGCTTTTTGAATGGGGAATGTTCGAAATGTAGCTTGTGCAGATCCTTCCTGCTGAGAAATCCTCCTGGTTGTGCTGTTCTCAGAGTTTATGCCATGGAAAACCCAGAACAATACACCAGACAGGTAGAGCCTTATCACATCATCCAAACAGCTCAGCTAGCAATCTCATTGTGAACTGATCACCAGTGTAACAAACTAGGTAACTGGAAGGCACAGAGTCACTAAACTATATAAATCATAAACCAGAAAACAGACACTTAAGATGGAGATTTTATGTTGCTAAGCTTCCTGGAAGACATGTCTTTGGGAAGACTCTATCTGAGGAAACAGATGATCACAGAAGGGAACTACTGCAGAAGATATGGGGGGGGAAACAAGAAGAGAAAGATGAAAAGGAATTTGGTAAAGCTAAGTGACTAAAATAGTAAGAGCAAAATTCCTATTTTAAGAATTCACCCAGAGGCACAAATTTGTTGACAAAATACCTTAGCAAAAAAAGGAAGAAACTGCCAAATTGAGAAGTCAGGCAGCACAGGAATCACATGTTCAAATTCTTAGGAGCAACAGCAACGATGGTGGCCTTAAAATTTACAGTGATTTTTTAATGTAAATATGTAGAAGTTGATGATCAAAATAAAATCTATTAAATATATCCACATGAATGCATTTTGTAGCTTTATTGATAGAAGCTAATGAATAACAATGATATACTTGAAATTCAGTATCAGCCAACTATGCTATACCATGCTGAGTGCTCCTTTTGCAGACAGATTAGGGGATGAGATGGGAGCTTTTTCTGTAACAACAGACCTTTTAGATTGTACTTTTCATACTTGCTTTAGACTCTAGACTGTAAATATCTATTTTGTCTATAGTCAGTGTGAATAAGAGCACATGAAAACTTACTTCTGTTAGATGTCGTCTTCAAAGGGAGATGAATTGCTCCCTAAAAGTGCCATCTCTCTCCCATGACTGAGACCAGCCTGGGATAACTGTTTGCTATACAGTACTTCCATGTTTGGTGTTCTGTACTTCTACCAGAAGAGGGGTTCCTCTCACTATGAATCATATTTTCTGGGCAGTGACCAAGAGGTCACTTCTCTTTCATTTCAAGTGGACATAATTCTCTTAACATAACTAGTGAAATATAAATGTTTTGTTTTCAAAAAAAAAATGAAACTATCTGTGACTCAAGGATTGAACTTGCAGGTTTTATACTACAATTCTCATCCAGACCACACTTTCTGAGTTTGCCTTTGAGGAGATTGTGAGAGACAGTGTTGAAAGACTTGCTGAAGTTGAGTTAGAAAATATTCACTCCTCTCTCCTCATCCATCCAGGTAGTTGTTTCATTGTAGATGGCAATCGAGTTGGTCAAGCATGATTTACCTTTAGTCAATCCATGCTGACTACTCCTGATCACCTTCTTGTCACCCATGTGTATTATCTGTAACCAGGGCCCCCTCCATTTAGTACCAAAGCAGCCTTTGTTTTCATTTTGTTATTGATGTATTTGAAAAAGCCATGTTTGGGATTCTGCCATAGCACAGCAAGGAATAAAGTAAACATGAGAACAGGAGTGGACAAAAAACCCCAAACCATACCAAACCAACAAATAAACAAAAAAAGAAAACCCCAAACAAAACCAAAACCAAACCAAACAAAATGCCCAACAACAACAACAACAGCAACAACAAAAGTATTCCTATGGTAAACTGCAGTGTCAAACCTTTTTGGCAGAGGTGATGTAAAATGCTCTGAAATCCTCATTCAAGTTTATTGATTGAAGTGTGCTTTCCTGAAGCACTGGAGAAACCTGACAGTCTATTTTGAAAGAGGAATTTCTTTGATAAATTGGCCTTTGTTCTTTGTGTAGTATGTTGAGTGATATGTAAATGTTCTGTTCCTTGTACTTTTGCTTATACCCATACACCTATGGATATTTTGAATGCACTTAACTCACTTCAGTCAATTATTTTTATTTCACTGTAAATAGCATAGACACATTCTCAAGTGTGAATGTGATTTGTAGCATTTTCACCTAATTCAGATAGTGATAAATGCCATCTGTTATTTGAGAAGTTAGCACATATGTATCTGCAGACTCACAGCAGGTTAACAGTATACATCACCAGTGGTTGAATTCAAAATTTGCAAGTGCTTATATGCACAGAAATCACTGGCACACACATGCCAGTACACTTCAGTTTACTTCCTAGGGGACTTTGTGCAATACTCACCTTTAGGACCAGAATTCTCACTGAGTCAGTTAAATGTGCCCTTTTAACTTCTCCGAATGCTTTTAAAATTCCCTTTCTTTGTAAATTGCATGACGACATCAATATTCATTACAACTGTTTCCTCAAATGGACCCAAACATAACATTCTGTTGTTTAGTGTGGATTTTAATATGTGAAGAGTAGTAGAACAAGAGAGAAGAATTGACAAAATGGATAAAACTATGTTCATGTTAACATAGTCCTAAATATGTGGTTTTTTGGAAGACATTCACAGCACGTATACATGTTAAGTGCTGCTTGTCACTGTCAGTCAGATAAATGTATTATTTTATTACTTCTATCCAACTCAATTCCTTCCTGGATGAAAAACCAAATATAAGCTAGCAATGTGTGCTTACAGCCAGTCACAAAAAGCTAATCACACCCGGTTTGCGTCAGAAAAGTATGTCCAGCAGATCACGTTTTCATGGACCTCACCTGGGGCACTGCATCTAGATCTGGGGCCCCCAGCATAAGAAAGACTTGTACCTTCTCGAGCCAGTCCAAAGAAGGAGAGGAAGATGATCAAAGAGGGCTGGAGTACTGCTTCTGTGAAGAAAGGCTGAGAGAGTTGTTCTGTATGGGGAACTAGAGGAGGCTCCAGGGTGCCTCCAGCCTGCAGCCTTCCAGTTCCTAGAGGGGCCTATAAGAAAGCTAAAGAGGGACTATTTCCTATAGGAGAGCTGAAGAGGGACTATTTACAAGGGTGTGTAGTGATAGGACAAGGGGGAATGGCTTTAAGCTGAAGGAGGGCAGGTTTAAATTAGATATTAGGAAGAAATTCTTTGCTCTGAGGGTGGTGAGGCACTGGAACAGGTTGCTCAGAGAAGCTGTAGATGCCTCATCCCTGGAAGTGTTCCAGGCCAGGTTGAATGAAGGTCAGAGCAACCTGGTCTAGTGGTAAATGTTGGATCTAGATGATCTAGATGATCTTTAAAGTCTCTTCCAACTCAAACCATTTAATGTTTGTATGAATTCTAATAGTAGATAAAAAAAACAGATTTATATTTTGGAGTCCAGAGCATACAAAGATTTAGCTTCCATTGAAATCCCTCCAGCTGGTCCATGTAGTTCAGTAGCCAATTAGGAATGCAGATGTCCCTTGTTTTAGCTAGTTTCAGTGATTTCATTTTTGCAAAATAAGCTCACAATTTTCTAATAAGTGTTTGGAATACAGCATTGACAATCATCAGTTTTAGTGTAGTTGAACCAATTCTAGAGGAGTTGAACCAATTCCCCATCATTACAGTACAAAACACTTTAAGTGACCTGTATATTGTTTTCTTAAACAATGAATAATATTTTGCATAAGTAAAACAGATTTGGAAAACAGCAACATTTATATCATCTACTCCTTTCAGTTAATCATTAAAGCCCTTATCTAGAACATGATAACTAAACAGAGAGTTATCTCATTTATAGCCTTGTTAGCCACAATAAAAACAAAATCATATAGCTTTGTGAGATACAGGACACAAATTACATTCAGACTGAAATTCATTCATACATCTCCTGACCATAGTAAGCAAAGTACGCAGATGAGAGGTAAGGAATTGGAGAGACAGGAGTCTGCTCCCCCCCCAGTCTTTCACAGTCACTTTGTCACCTTTGGGGATGAACTACCAGCTTTATCCCTTGCACATGCAGAGTTTGTGAGCATTTGATATTAATAAATGGAGGCCATATTTGCTTACATTCAGAAGAAAATAGCTCTCTGTGTCACAGTTGATGTAGCACTTTCATGAGCTATAATAAAAAAAATCTGCTCAAAATGGGTAATTTAAAAACATAGCTATTGAACTGTTTTTTCTTTCAAAGGCAACAGTATTTTTGCCTCCAGTTCAGCCCCTTCAGTTTAGGGAAAAGGTTGTTAATTGACAGGATACAACTGTGAAGGCTTACTGAATGCTCTCTCCATCTTCACAGAATCATAAAATACGGCAGGTTGGAAGGGACCTCTGAGATCATCAAGTCCAACCCTTGATCCACTACTGCCGTGGTTACTAGACCATGGCACTAAGTGCCACATCAGTCTCATCTTAAAAACCTCCAGGGACAGAGAATCCACCACTTCCCTGGGCAGCCCATTCCAATGCCTGATTACCCTCTCTCTAAAGAATTTCTTCCTAATATCTAACCTAAACCTCCCCGGCACAGCTTAAGACCATGCCCTCTTGTCTTACTGATGGTTGCCTGAGAGAAGAGACCAACCTCCACCTGGCTACAACCTCCTTTCAGGGAGTTGCAGAGAATGATGAGGTCTCCCCTGAGCCTCCTCTTCTCCAGGCTGAACAACCCCAGCTCCCTCAGCCTCTCCTCATAGGACTTGTGTTCAAGTCCCTTCACCAGCCTTGTTGCTCTTCTCTGGACCTGCTCCAGGACCTTAATATCCTTCCTGAACTGAGGGGCCCAGAACTGGACACAGTACTCAAGGTGTGGCCTCACCAGCACGGAGTACAGGGCAAGAATCACTTCCCTGCTCCTGCTGGCCACACTGTTCGTGATCCAGGCCAGGATGCCATTGGCCTTCTTGGCCACCTGGGCACAATGCTGGCTCATGTTCCACTTCCTGTCAATCGAAACTCTCAGGTCCCTTTCTGCCTGGCTGCTCTCCAGCCACTCTGTCCCCAGCCTGTAGCGCTGCATGGGGTTGTTGTGGCCAAAGCACAGAACTCGGCACTTGGCCTTGTTGAACTGCATCCCATTGGAATTAGACCATCTCTCCAGTTTGTCCAGGTCCCTCTGAAGAGCCCTCCTGCCTTCCAGGAGATCAACACTCTCCCCCAGCTTGGTGTCATCTGCAAATTTGCTGATGGTGGACTCAATCCCCTCATCTAAATCATCGATAAAGATATTAAACAGAACTGGGCCCAACACTGATCCCTGGGGGACACCACTATGTACCATAAAAGTACTGGCTGCCAACTGGATGCAGCACCGTTCACCACCACTCTCTGGGCCCGGCCCTCCAGCCAGTTCCTAACCCAGCACAAAGTGCCCCTATCCAAGCCGTGGGCTGACAGCTTTTTCAGGAGTATGCTGTGGAGACCGTGTCCAAGGCTTTGCTGAAGTCCAGACACACCACATCCACAGCCTTCCCCTCATCCACCAGGTGGGTCACCTGGTCATAAGAGGAGATCAGGTTGGTCAGACAGGACTGGCCCTTCCTAAAACTGTGCTGGCTGGGTCTGATCCCTTGTCCATCCTGTAGGTGTTGTGTGATTGCACTAAGGATGATCTGCTCCATAACCTGCCAGGCACTGAGGTCAGGCTGACAGGCCTGCAGTTTCCCAGGT